GGTTGACTGACAGCAGCAGTGACAGCTGTTAAAGTTGCTGATGGTCAAGCCCACGTGAGTTGTGAGTTGTGCTCTGCACTCGCTCTGATGTCAGCCATGGCTTGCGTCTCTAGATCTCTCGGCATTCCTTTCGATTCAGGTACTTTGGTGTGCTGAGTTGTTAAACTCTGCAAGTGACCTCGGGACACTATAGTGCCGTACTTGGCAGAAATGGACGAGAGGGATCTACAGCTATTTTCGGTCGGTTGACATTGACATGAATGCCTTCTGCCCGTGCATCTCATCAGATGTCAAAACTCACTCACTCAGATATAGATACCGAAAGGGAAAGGGAAAGCACGCAATTGTTATCAGGCGGTGAATCAATGAGCGGCATTAAACACATGCACGAAAGACGGTCAAGGTCGAGTTCAGCTGAATGTTGAGCAGAGCATGCAAGAAAGACCCCAAAGACCCTCGGTAGGCGCCATGAAATCAAGACCCTGGTTGCATTTTGCATCTGCTTTGACTGTCCTATCCTTATGGTCCGTTCTTTCCTTTGCTTCGCCTTCATGTGCGCCATAGAATTCCCCCGCGCGGAGAAGTGGCCCCCACAAAAGGATAGTCTCAGTCAGCGGGCGGAAGGCTTGAAAACCTCAAAGAGTCAGTCAGTCATGAAAAACACTCAGAAGATCCCGCGGGTAAAACGTCACTGTTTGATCGCCATTGAAAGTGGCTGCCTGGTCTGACGAGATTTACAATAGCCGCGTTACGGTCACAATCGGGATAGAGCTTGGAGCTTCAGAAAGACGCTGGAGAAGAAAGATCTTGGCTCAACAGCCCAGGCCGGCTGATTCCAGAATAGGCTTTGCAAACAATTGAGGGAACATTCTTGAAGGTGCGCGTGCTGTATAAAATATGATACCTCAGCAATTAGTGATAAACCTTAGATGCTGGGTGCTTCGAAACATGGCTCAAACCAACACAATGACAGTTTAGAGCCGGAGGGTGTCAGAAAAGTTGACTCTTTCCAGTTGGCTGACAAAGATTGACAGTCATCTGTGGCGAAATTTGAAAGTGAATCTGGTCTCGTATTTTTGTCGAGAATGGACCAGTAGCCGATCTTTTTCGTTTCCCCGATGTTAAAATGCAGGGTCCTTCCTCTCCGAGATGCTGTACCGATCGGTAATTGAGCCACCCCGACTGGTCTTATTCCCGCTCACTCCCCCTCAGAAAAATAAAATCATTTGCTAAATTCTGATTGGAGGGGAACTGATTTTACCCGTGATTTTCTTCGGGGGGTTTTTTGGTCTAGATTTTATCAGTATCAGGTTTAGCCTAAACGACCTACAGTTTCCTTCTTTCTTCTCAGGTGGCAGTTTTGTTTCTTAAACGTGGTCGACATCTGTCACTTTTTATTGGTATGGCTCTTGACTCAGAAGAAGCATTTAGGAGTTGCACCCTGGGCGTTGAAGAAAAGCAAAGTCTTGAGTGAAAGACAAAGACCCGACGATGCGAAATTCTGTCTCACGCCCCCCTTGCGCTCATCTCTAATTGGTTTAGTGTCGTTTTCTCCATCACCAGAATGAGATCCTTAAAACTCCAAGCGCACTCATCGCAAAAAGCAAGCAAATACCTATCAAATTGCGCTTTAATGCAGGAAGGGAGATTTCTTTAGTTCCATGTGACCTCTTTGTCTTCTCTTCCCTCTTTCTATTTGCCTCCTTCTATATTCTACCACTTAATTCGCTATCAAGATGGGAGGCAAATTCTTATGCGGAGATGATATGGATATGGATAGTCAGTGTCTAAAACTGATCACACGGATGACCACAGAAAATACTCCAGATTCTCCGCAGTCTACTAACATTGACATTTGACGGGCAATAACTTACGCAACATGTGGTTCTTTTCTGGGGAATTGGACACGTCAAAGCTCTAAATCGATCAATTGATTGATTTGTCTCTATGGCATTATGGTTCTTTTCCCGTCCAGACGCCATTGACGCTGAAGAAATAACAACTGCAGTAGTCTGAGCTCAGGCTTAAGTACACCCATGATGTATGCAGCTATTCATGCGGTGCACTGACTGATGAGTGTGCCTTGACGATGAAGTGATATACTTTCTTTTCCCCCAGATTGAACGGGAGAGGCGTCGTTGTCTCTTCTGAGTCGTTCTGATCTGATTCATTCCCCCACACGCAAGGGAGAGCTTAGAGGGAGGCAATTGAGGGCAACAATTGACTGGCTATGATTCAATCTCTACTACATATAAGATATCACAAATGACTGATTTCAAACATATGTACAGCACAGCACATTATCCAGCCCTCCTTTTTCCTCCCTATCACTGCAACTGTCTTGAAACGACCGATTCAATTCACAGACCTTCACTTCAGCCTTCATCATCATCACCATCCTTTCATTTTCCTACCTACCAATGTCAGAAACTAGGTGGCGCTTAGCTCCATGTCGCCCCGAGTGCGGCTCCGCACGTATAGGGCCCTCTCCTCCACAATTTGGCCGTAGAATGGATCTTCGGTCCTTGCCAGCTGACTTGACTTGACTGTTGGCAGTGCTTGTGCTTTTGATAGACAGGTACACAAGACACCGAGACCGAGGACGCGGAGAAATTTGTCAAGCGAGTTCTGGGCTGTCTGTCAAGATGTGTCCAGACCAACTGCCCAGACTTTGATCTGACCAGATAGTATCAACTATTGCAGTAGGTTTGGTGTAATACGAGTAAATGCACGTTGGGTTGCTTTGTTCATATGTCAATAGTTCAATATCTTAATCAGAGTAGTAATTTAAGCCATGCGTGGTAACCGAAAACTCAAAAAATACTGCAAGAGTACAGTCGGTATTACTCAGTTCGCAGGTCATATCGCATCGTGGCTTGTCGCTGTAACCCAAGCATCACCGCCTCCGATACCCTTAATTCCCACTTATGCTTACCTACAGCATCCTACCATCCATACATAGAAACGGTGAAGAGGAAGTTTTAGATAAGGGCATGCGCCCAGGAATCTTCCAAGGAACAAACCCCCCGAGGGTTCTGGGTTTTCTCTAGGTTTGACCGAGTTGCGGAGATGGTCCGTCTGCAGGTTCAGGTCAGGGGAGATTGGATTGAACAAGAGGTTTACGCGTTCTGTGTGATCTTTGTTAGCGTAAGCTCTGGCTCTGTTCTCTTTCAACACCCCCTCTTCTCAATATTGCGATGCAACCTCTTAGTCAAGACTTTTCAAGCCATCTCAGCTCCGGTGGTTGGGATCGGTTTTGAATACCGTGTTGACGGGTACGGTACTTGCTGGACAACACCCACTCTTTCTTCCCAATTACACAAGATTGGATGAAAAAGGGTGACACCCTTGTAGTGTGAAAAAACTCAATGGCGTGTGGTTGTGGTGTCGCAGAGTCAGGCAGGCAGACAGACAGAGTGTCCCATCGCCAAGTAACTAATTCTTTGTAAAACGCAACGCTTTTTTCTCCTTGTTCCTGAAGCGGCTCAAGACGGCTTGACTCTTGTATCTGTTGGGGATCTGCACGAAGTGCTGTACTAAAATAAAGACCGACAGACACAAAGACAGAACGCACTGCCTTATGCTAAAGTAGCTGCATTTGCATCGCATGGACTACAGTACACAACAACAGTTCAGTTCCATTTTGAATTGACCGCCTGATGAACTAGAGATACTAGACACTGAAGACTACGGGAATTATCGCAAACTCCCCCATGTTCTTTTTGTTTTCTAGTGACTCATGCCCGCAATTACCGACAGTTTGGGACTGAACATCAGTTACTTTTTATTCGCCTCCTCAGTTTACATGTGAAGTTACTCAACATCTGTCAACTCAGACTGACGATCATTTTGACATGTGCTCACTCTGACTTTACCTTGACTCTCAACTCTTGACTCTTGCTTGACTCCCCTCTTTCTTACCACAAAATTCAAAGCCAATTGATCAAGTCACGAGCCCTGCAAGACCTGGTCTGTGTCTTGTCTGGGCTGCCACACCAAAAATGAGCCTTGAAGCTTGGGGGCTTGAAGGCTTCTCATCCCCGGTCCAATAGGAATTCAACCTGTCAGCATCAAACGGCCGCTATCAAATTCGGTTGGTTCGTGGTTGTTTACAGGCAAGTTGCAACCCTCAGCTTCTGAAGCCTGCCGAGCATGGCTGATTGTCTCCCTAAAACCCAGCAATTGATGACGTCCATTCTGGGTCATGTCCTGGTTCATTCAGGAACCTTGGAAACTCTTCTGACAACTCACAGCTCAACATTCCGAACCAATGCATGTTACCACACCTTTACACAGCTATTACTTCACGATGTTCAAAGAGACTTGCAGATTGTATAGTATAGTTCCATGGGAAATTTTATTCATGTTTTTGCGGAAACCTCTTTGATAGACAATTCGCCCTTTTTGCGAGTTTTTTTTCATGAACAACTCGTTTGATCTTCTTTTCTACTTTTCCATTCCATTCCAATTCTCCTTACTCCTGCCATCTTCAAGGCCTTGTGTAGACCTTTTTTCGCTTTGTTCCTCCGCTGCTGACTTTTCTTTTCGCCTTATGCGCTTGCTCGAGTAAAATCAATGACCGTGTCGTATATCCCGGCCCATGCTCCGCCCAGCTCTCCACCTCGATAAAAACCTTTCATAGCGAATTCATATCCTCAGGTTGCCCTTTAATATCTTCCCCCGTATGAGAAATACTAGTACACGTGCTCCGAGCCTGGTGATTGGCGAAAAACGAGCCGTTCGCAGCCCTGATAAAAAAAACACGATTTCATGGTATCATAACGTTATGGGTTCCCGCCATGAGTGGTAAAAAAAAAAAAAAATTGACTTCAGTTCCGTTTCGCTAAATGAGTTTGTAAAACAAATGCTGCTAACTGCAGCCAATCGCTTGATGCTAATGTGTTGATGCCTGTCGTGCGCCGTCCAATGCACAATCGTAGTGGGTATAATTGTGTCGGTGTGGTGTGGTATAAGGTATAGTATGGTATGGGTATCATCATTTACCACCCCTTGGAGTGGTATCCGTCGCTGGCCTCCTTGGAGAAGTATTGGTTCCAGCTGCTCGCATTCACGTCCTCGCTCTGCTTCATACAAGGCTTCTCAGGGAATTGCTTCAGGTTGGCCACATCATGCGATGTGTGTCGTCGCTTAAGGACGGCATTCGCTGTTGAGGACTTTTGTTGTCGCTCCCAGAGGAGGTGGCGTCGAAGTGACTCAGTCAACTCGGTCGCCAACATGTTACGGCGGGTAGTACGAGGTGACAGGGCAGCCTGGGGCTGGAGATGATTGGGGCCGGTCATGATGGGCTGGGCAGTAGACCTGGGTACCTCATGAATAGGCTTGAGGCCAGGACCACGCATGCCCTTCATCATCAAGGGTGCCTCATCAGAATCATTAGGTGAGGCACCCAGTGAATGGCCATGGGCCAGACGAGATCGGGGAATTGCTGATGTTGATTGGGAAGCGTGACCACCAAGGTTGCGTGCACGATCGTTCTGGGCAAGCATGAGAGTAATGAGGGATCGGCGGGAAGTCAGGTTGGGCTTGGAGTCAACTCGCTGGAAGAATCTGTCGTCCATGCTAGACTTGCCACTCTCCTCCATAGAGTCCTCCCAGTCAGAAGAGTCGTCATCGTCATCAATGGCGCTCTCGTCAATGTAGTCGTCGGTGTCAGAGTCCACAGCAGCCTCATCATCAATGGTTCGAGTCATGACACTGTTAGCAAAAGAAGCTTGCTTCTTTCGCGCAGACAGAAGCGAGTTGGGTCGTGGCGAAGCCATGGCGCTCTTGAGAGATCCATCCTCCTCAGATGAACCACCAATTTGGAACACGGGCTTCTTGATGATAGGAATGATAGGCTTGCTGTTGCTAAGGCTCTGGTCCTGTTCACTAGACGAACAAGAGCCACCAAGCGCAAAGCGGGCAGGCTTCTTTGACTGCACTACCTTGGCGGCAGGTGAGGACTTGGGCTCGGGGATCGCATCTGATGATTGGGTGCCGGAGATGGTTCGAGGAGTAGGAATTTGGGAAGGCGAGAAACCGCGCACAACAGTAGTGCGGGAGAGGCTCTGAGGTGAAGGCTGTGGCGAACCCTCAGAAGTAATGGACTTAGCAGGCGATTGCGACTCGGTAGTGGTAGAACCGGATCGCTCGAATGCAGGAGGGACGGGCAGGGACTCCTTGGCGACAGGCGCAACGTGAGGAGGGGCAGAGAGAGGACCCTTGTCCTTAACGATAGAGACAATCATCTTCTCGAAGTCGTCGGAGCTGATGTGACGTTCGCGTTTGCTTCGGGTGCTGGCGCAAGAATCTTGACGTCGTACACGAGGGCGGGCAATCTCAAGGGGTGCTGATACTGGTGCGAAGTCGACGGCTTCCTCGTCTACAAGGGAGTCGACGCTGCCGGATAGTTGAGGAAGATCGGGTATCCTCGACTCGGAGGGGATGTTCTGAGGAAGGGTCTCGGTGGTAGGGGCGGTCTTCTCCTCGTTGTCGACGACAAATGTTTCTCTTTGCCAAAGTCGCCAGCTGAGGTTCTCTAGTCTTCGGCCTTGTTCAACAGAGTCTGCGCAGCGAGAAAAGACTAGCTGGTCAGCATATAAAGCGGTCGACGCATTAAAGAAGTGACTTACCAGTCCACATGCTATATAGGTTAGCGGGATTGCCAGTGTCGACCTTGTGGATGACGTTCGCATCCACTGTCAAGACGTGAGTGTCTAGGCGATAGGGCATAATGTGTGCTGAGTGTGTCGATTAAGGGTTGGTGATAAGTCGGGTTGAAGTTTTATGCAATCGGATGAGATTCGTAGGGAGCCGGCCAAGTAGATCGAGATTAAAGCCGACAATGCGCCAGAGCGTAGTACAAGTTGATCTTCGAGGTGGAGTTGAGTTAATCGCGGGCGGTGAGTTGAGGTCAATGCAAGCGATTTTGGTGGATGAGAGTGTCGAGATGGATACTGCCTTTCATGGGGACCCTCGAGTAGACATGTACTGTAAGTGTAAAGGCGAGATCAAGTTGTCGTCTTTGATCCAAAGATCCTTTTACAAAACAAAGGATGTTGGACGTTTGGTGTTAACAACTTTGGTGTATGTGTATGTATGTGGAGGAGGACGAGGACAGCAAGTCCGGGGATCAAGACTTAGATATTCTGTTTGGGCTTGTGGGTAGAAAGACGGATTGGGGGAAGGGATTGAGGTCGGTGTGCGCTACAACAAGCAAGCACGAGCGCCAGGTTCAAAGGGGGGGTGTCGGACCGCGGGGGCGTGTTGTTCAGAGAGGGGTGCGAGCTACCTACTTGGCCGGGGGTTGCTCAGGTACGTACCTAAGATGAAGATGGGGGGGTAGGTACTACCCGAAAAGCACAAGTCCAAGTCTCTCTCGTCTCCTTCTCTCAGTACAAGCCGGACGTACCGCGGCGCAGTATAATTTTCGCTGGCAGAGTCTAGTGATTGATTCCAGTGGGGTAGGATCTTGATGTATGTATGTACTCATGTATGGATTGCAGCATGTACAGCGCAGCGCAGCACAGCACAGCACAACACAGAGGCGTGACCAGACGAATTCTAAATGCGGAGGTTAAAGTGTAATTGTACCCAGGTACACCAGAGCACTCTTAAAAGCGGTATATTGATCATCTGTACGGATAGCCGTATCTTTGTTACCAAGTCAAAGGGATCCATTCTCTCTCCTCTCGGCCAAAAAAAGAACCTGTCAATGTCATGTCCTTACCAGGGAAGAGGTGAAGGAGCATCAGGGCATCAGAAAACTTGACCGTCGAGCACATCAGAGACGAAATAAGCTGGTCACGTTGCCCCAGTTTAGATCAGTCTCTAGACCATTTATTTCCGTCGCCTCAAGCCCTCAATGACAAGTTTTCTGACACAAGCGAGGGAGTGGAGGAGGGAGCAGGTCCTGTTCGGCGACACAACAGACAAGGACAGGCCTTCTGTCAGGGGGAGAGGAACGCGAGTGGAGGTGGCAGAGAGGGGAAGAGGCAAAATAAAACTGCTTGTGACCATCTCCACGGGTCTTTACCTGAAGAGGCACTTGTTCTGCTTGAGCAGCGGGTCACTAGATTCTCAAAAGAGTTTGGATTCTCAGTCTTCGATCCAGTCCTTTTCGGGCTATATCTTGACTACTCTTTTAGGTAACAGGTGGATCCAAGACGGTAACGGAGTGAGCACAGACGAACGCGGAAACGGTGTCTCTCTCGGTCTTGGTCTTTGGACAGCGGCCTCCAGCGGAAAATCACGTATCGGTCTCCGTTTAGACGACATTCTGGAACGTTGACTTTCCTCTTGGCTCCGTTCCGAACTGAGACTGAATCGGGCACCCGAGTCCAGAACTGAGGACGACCCTGATTGTTTGCTTGTTTGCCTTGCCATCACCATAGCCAGGCCCAAAAGGCCCAATCTCCCCCACCTCTTCCAATGCTTTTCCCGCGGATGAGGTCCCCTGTAAGCCGCTGCTATTCATCAGGCCCAGGGACTGGTCTGAGGCCCCATCACGAGTCACGATGGTGAGCGCAGCCTCGCTTTGCTCTGTTCTGGCCCGGATTAACCGCGGTCTTAACGCGCTCAAGACAGAGCATACTCAGACTCGTGAGACTCGCCCAGGAAGAAAGGGTCCATTAGATGCCTCTAGTTTGATATCTTCCAAGGCACATGACGATGGACCCTGAAGGGGTTTTTGTTGCCGAGAATCATGTTCAAGACCGCTGAGCGTTCATAGTCATGTTTATGGTGTTTTTTTGGAATTGAACTTCAATTCCAATGGATCCCAACCCGGGCATCGCCAATGTCGCCTACGTTATAGCGTCAATTGGTCCGCTTGCAGTTCAGGCTCCAACTTCAACGGCGAATTGACGTGATTCTCGATGATCCGGGATTGGAAATGAGACTCTTGCTAGTGACTCTCGCCCTGGAAACCCCAGAGGATTCGTGGGGATCCGTCCATTGACTTGTCTTGACCCAAAGGTCCGGTGACCCCGTGATAACAACGACCCCCAGGTTTTACTCCATGTCATCCGCTCACTGTACCTCAACTCGTCTCCGCAAGCGGCCACGGACCTTTGAGTGATCTTGCCTGGCCTGGAAACTCATTTGGTGAAAGGTCATTAGAAGGTATACGTAGGTCTGGTATATTGCTGTTACGGTGGTGGAAGCACAGGCGGGTAACGACTGATGGTTGATGACTGCATTTCTGCTCTGCGCCTGACCACGGAGCTCTTCCCGACGGGACGGGCTCTAGTCGAGGCACTTGAGGAGTTCTCGAACTGTAGCCATCCGTCTTCAACAACAAATCAGTCGGCCAGGCGTTCCCTCCGTTGTGCCGTGTTGAGGCGTTCGGTATCATGGAGAAGCGTGATCACGGGCATATGCCGAGGAGATCAGACGAGAATCTTGCTACCGGCTTCAATTGTTTATCCCGAGGTTTCAGTGACGATATGTCTGGGATATCAAGGTCACCTGGGCTGAAGCTCCTGGATCCTCTGCGCCACTCGTTATTCACAGGCTTCCAGGTAGCAGCGAAGCAACTTCACATCCATCGCAATCGCGGGGAGGCAGACTTCCATGCATTGCATCCATTGGAATGAGCCTTGTTTGACCCGTTGTCCTGGGTTGAGATGACGACAATGGCCTCAGCAGGGCCTCAGCTCATGTTCAGGGGCGCTTCTTCAGGGTCCTGGCGACTCAGCGCTTGGCACTACATGTCACCAGACGCGCTCTGCCGTCCCATCAGGCCAACCACTGCTTCTCAAGCGCCATGAAGTGACGACCTTTGCCAGCGCATAAAACAGCATCTGCAACCGCATGACTCTCCTAAAGGACCTCTATTTTCGCATCTTTGGCGTTTTACTCCTCTGCCTGCACGGCCGGGCTGTAGTTACAGGGCTTCAGTGGTAGACGCCTCGATGATCTTCGCTGCAATCATGGCAACCTCCCTGTCTTAGTTTTCAACTTGTCCAGCATATTTGCTCGATGACATGTCAATTTTCAGAGTGCTGACATCTTGGTCGCCCTGGAGTTCGCATCACTGCTTGCCTAAGCTATGTTCTTGGGGATTATTGCTTGAGACTACTATGTGCTAGTCCAGCAGTCATATTATCTGTGTAATGCCCAGAAGATTCACGGAATTTGTCTTGAATGATCGTAATAAATCATGGCGATGAATCATATTAACCCAGACATAGATTGATGCTGAACCGATATTATTAGCTATTGCCTTGTACGCCTTCACCATCACAGTCACACGAAACTCCAGGGTATGGTAATGAGTAGTTGGAGCAAGACCAGATCGCCATTATGAATCAGCACCCCTTTCCCCTGGATGTTGGCGTTGAATTTGGGACTATAATCCTGCAATGCTTTCGCCCTTTCACTTCGGCGTCAGTTTAATGAGTTGAAGATGAGGCGTATGAGGCCAGCGAAGCTGAGGGTTGCGTTGCGGCATGCTGATGAAGTGAATAACGTGGTAAGAAATTGCACACGATGCGATGTGGCCATCCGTGTTGGAGCCCCCTGACAGTTGATAAATATCGACATCTCGATCGTCTTGGGATGCTCGATCTTGCAGTTAAGCCTGTCTGATTAATCGTCTGCCCTGCCTTGCAGGATCTGGCTACCGTTGCTCTCCCTTGAGCCCCACGAACCGCTGCATGCTAGCCAGTAGCTAAAGTACAGTAGTAGATCACGGTAGAACCAGGATGGCGATCATGTCAAAATTTCTGGCGTGTCGGTAGTTGGTTGTGTATGTAAATGTGAGGTGAGCCGACATGGGAAAGTGAGGTGACCGTGTCTTTCTAAATATCAAAACACAACCCTTGAATTAATTCAGTATTCATGACCTGGTCAAGCACATAAAAAACCTCGTCTTGTCTGGCTTGGTCAAGGGCCTTATGACGTCTCATGGTAGGGCGTCGTCCCACCGTGATGCTGTGTCATTGCATCCAATGCCGCCGAAACGTGGACCTCTACACCAAAATAGCATGCGTTATTATTCCAAAAGCTTCGATTCGATTGTGTTTGTGCGTGGAAAAAGAAGAGAAGAGGGTCCAGAGAGAAGCAGGCTACCTATACTGACCAGCATAAAGCACCGAGACTAGGGAAAAAGTGAATTGAATCGTAACATTCAATGAATCACATCATACTGGAACCCAGTAAAACTCGCTAAGCTCACCTTGGTTTTACTGTCCTGTAGGCTGTAGACTACCTACAGTAGAAGACCTAAAAACAGTGAAAGAAAAAATCACCCCGCGGCGGGCCGATAAGCGATAAGAGCTCTTTTTCACACATCACACATCATAGCCCTCCACCTACTGCGTCAGTCAAAGTCTTGGCTTCCCTGCCCCTCCATCTTATCGTTATCCTATCCTGACCTGCGTCACCGACTGGAACCTCTTGTCTCTCTGCCCGGACCATGAAGCTGGCGCCATAATAATTGGATTTTCCCCCATCCCTCTCATCTCTGGTGACACGATATTCTATCAACATCATCCGTTAGAGCCGGCGCTTCTATTCTTTACTCCTATTTCTTCTGTAAGTATCGCCTTATCCCCCCAATTGCTGCATCTGTTTTTGTCTTGTACTGTTTCTCATCATATCTTCTCTCTGCTAGACTACCTAGAGAGCTGAGCTATATTGCCCCGCCGCTTTTTTCTTTCTCCGAACGGCTTGGCTATAACCTAAAGTTGCGCAACGTCTTACCTGATTTAAGCTCTGGCAAAGCTTGA